TGATAGTTTTAGATTGATTTTGTTGTTTAATATAGGTCAAATCTGTTAAGATAGCTTCGGCCTCAGCAGCAAAGATTAAACTATTATCTGGGATTCTTGAGGAAACAGTTTTGGATCCAATGACAGTGGCACTGGAAACTTTGCAAACTTGGAACCGCCTGTGAAAATGGATCTATGACAAGAGTACTTTGTTCGTAGCTGGTTGTATTCCTGTTGATGTAACAAAGGATTTGTTTCGGACCGTTTTAGCTTGGTGAGAGTGAGGTCTAACTGCCAGGGAGGAAAAGTCAGAAGTCAGCATGTGGATAAGTTATTAAGATCCATTTTAGCTGCAGTGATATGTGGTTGAATTATAATTTCAAATGGAGTACCAGGTTTGATAAGTTTTGAAAAAGGTTCTCATAAAGAGGGTTAAACACAATGATATGCTGGGTTTGACTGATCTGAACTTTAGTCCCACCTGAGAGAGACTTCTGGCACGCTGCCTTTACACATTTGATGTGTGGTAATAATGTCAGATGACGGTCAAATGTGAGGCCAAGGAATTTGGTCTTCCCTACTACCATCATTGGAATACCATCTAAAAATATTTCTGGATCCTTGTGTGGTTTGTATTTACTACAAAAGTGAATGCAGTTTGTTTTGGATTAAGAAAACCTTAAGTCATTTTCGTTGGCCTATTATTGAATTTTGTTAAGACATAGCTGTAATTGTCTAGTTATTGTATGCATATTCTTACCTTGACAGGAATTGTTGAAATCATCCAAAAAAGGTGAAGCTAAATAATATGACAGATAGACGCCCTGGTCTTGATCAAAATGATCAGATAGGGTATAGTCAACTCGTACTTGAAATTGTCTGTTGTATAAAAACTGATAGACATGAAGTGAGGTAATCTGCCCCTAAATCCAAATACATGCACATCTTTTAAAATACCATGTTTCCAAGTTGTATCAAATTTTCCAAATTCAAATTCTTTATTCAGTACTATACAGGCCACAGGCCTTTTGTACAAAATGTATGACAGATATTTATGGCAACAGTCACAATGATAAACTACGTGTGTAATACAGATATTTAGCGATACTAATAATGAGCTTTGTGTTAGTAGTAGATACAAGTATATAAAACTTGAAGTCATTTGGGTGTAACTTATATTTTGAAAGGCACACTATCGAGAAAGGCCAAATTGACAAAGTTTGCAAAATCTTTCTTTACAAGGGTTATTAAATATTTTACTAGTTTCTATTTCCAGCCAGTGTGCACTGCATTTAAACCTTGACATACATGAACGGAATTTACTCATGGTTACACGGTACAAATATTCTTCACACTTCAAAATTAATTTAAAATGAGAATAGAAAGACATTTAAGAGCTATTACATAAACGTTTGTACCATATTTGTTGGAAATTGTCTGTCAAATGTTGCAATTGTAGTAAATAACTGCTGTATCGTGTGCCTTCTCTGGGTCGAACAAGAGTCGTACAGTGTGTTGTTTGTTGACAATGAAAGTTTTAATAAATTGATTCTAGAGGTCAATGGTACTTCTGCGTTTTCGGAAACCTCATTGGATGCTACTTAAGAGGTTATTGGTCTCCAAGTACAAGACTAATCAGTTGTTGACCATGTCCTTCATTGCTTTACAAACATACCTATATTGGATGGTAGTTGGATGGATCAGTATGATCCCTACCAGGCTTTGGTATAGGTGTGACAATGGCATTATGCCATGAAGGAGGGGAATTTCCGGGTTGTCCATATTTCATCAAACATATACTCAACAACAAAAGTTCCTGTGACACCAATATCTTAGTGTATCTTTTAAACAAGTAATGTTTGGTTTTCAATATTGTAGTACATGTATGGAATCAAGTCACAAAAAACGCAACTGCTACAGAAAAGCATGCATTCTATGCAAAAGTTGACGTTTATGCAAGTCCCATGCATTTCACCACCCAAGAATGGGTATAAAAACAAGTGCGTTAACGGGATTCCATATGCATTGTTTAGCATCGTGCTGAAAACAACCACTCAGAAAAACAACAAAATTACGCAATTATTCAACATTACGAAATGCCACGCCTGTCCGAAAATAAGCGTATGCGAGCCATTGGTATGCTTGAAGCAGGATCGAGTCAACGTGATGTTGCAAGACAACTTAACATCCACAGAAACACCATTTGGTGTTTATGGCAACGTTGCAGTAATGACTTGACGAATGCAGTCAGAGACCTTCCTCGGAGTGGCAGGCCATGCGTAACCAATAATCGACAAGACAACTGGATTCGAACAACACACCTACGAAATCGATTCCAGTCAGCAACAGGGACTGCAAGAAGCATCCCTGGCCTTTGACGAATATCTTCACGAACCGTACATCGCTGCCTCAGATGTGCAGGTATTGTCGCCAGAAGACCCGCCAGACTTCCCATTTTGACAGGAAACCACCGTCAAGCACTTCTACAGTGGTGCAGACAGGGTCTACGCTGGACGGCCATGCAATGGGGACAAGTTCTAATCACTGACGAGTCTCGTTTTCACCTCAGCCACAGCGATGGACGGACTCGAGTGTACTGAGTGAAATGTCGTCAATCATTGTGTCATGCATGGAAGAAGATCGGTTCGGGGGTGGAAGCGTTATGGTATCGGGTGGGATTACAGCAAGACAGAGGACCCGTTAGATAGTGGTAGAGGGAAATCTCAATGGACAGCGCTACAGCGACGAGATTATCGGCCCTGTTGTTCTACCGTTTTTGCGTCGTCATGGCCCATGCATTACCTTTCAACATGACAACGCACGGCCTCATATTGCTCGACTTGTTCACGATTCTCTTCAACAAAACAACGTGAATGTCATCCCCTGGCCGGCTCGATCCCATGATCTCTCACCTATCGAGCACATGTGGGATGAGATGGATCGGCGCCTTCGACGTCAACCACATGTTCCACAGACACTCCAGGAACTTCGAAACATGCTCAAGCAGATATGGACAGATATCCTACAGGACTTTGTGCGACGCCTGGTCTATTCCATGAGACGAAGATGTGTTGCTCGCATCGCAAACAGAGATGGACACACACGCTATTGATTTGTAAATTGACATTTTGGCATGTTCAAGTTTTTTTTATGAAATCACGCATTTTCTGAAGGCGGTATGGAAAATTAAACCATATGAACACTTACAGGAGTCTTTTATCTGTTGCAAACCGAAATTGTTTCAGATTTGGTAAAAAAACATAACTTTGCATTAAATCTTATTCAATGTCACAGGAACTTTTGTTGTTCAGTACATTAAGCAGCATCTCCAAATAGAATCGGACAAGTGTTCCAAGAGCTGATAACGAATGTTTCAGTTACAAGTGACCTTTTACTTTTCCTGTTGTTTTTGGTATCTCTGATACTGAGGGTTATGGATAGATGTTGAGGAATGGTTTGCCAAAGTTTCATCAAGTTTGTTTGCAATTTCAGGTTTAGTTTTTAATAGTTTGTTACCGTCTTTGAGATGGTAAACTCAAGATTTACCTTTACCCTTAATCTTTTCAATCACATACCAAACTTTGGACATCGATTGGCGGACGTTTGTTTTGTTTAAAAAGTACGTCTAGCCTTGGTGCTTGTGATTTTAACATTATTCAGGTTGTGGACAGTAGTCAGTTTGTAGAGTATTTATGACTAATTTTCGTCTCCAGTATCTCCAAGACTGGACAGTTTTTACTTTTGGTTTGGGAGGTGTCACAGTGGAAGGTGGCACAGCTGTTTTTTTTAGTGAAGCATTTGGAAGTGGGCTGAAAAGACTTAGCCCATGCCAGATCTGCCTGGCAGTTAATAGAGGCCAATAGAAAAAGTAGGACAGAAGGCTGTAGCATAATAAGAACCAGTAGAAGTGGTTGCAGTAAGACGTCTTCTTAGCTTCTTGGAAGGAGCTATTTTGCTCACCTCTGTCAGGATTTGTGACTCGCCTTGAATTGCCACCATGGGCAGGATTTAGAAGATGTCATAAGGTTTGTACAGCAGTTTGCACACTTTACCTCATTCCCACAGTCACTGGCGGTAACAAACAGCAGAGGCATGTACACACAGTGCCATTTAGAATGAGACTCAACGCCAAAAAGTACGAGAATATGAACTTTACTCAGAAAGTGTTATCTAAAATATAATATTTGTTACATTTGGCCAATTTCTAAATGGCAGTGTGTGTTCATAGCTTTCGGCCATGGGAGCTGTGCCAATTTACACATGTCAGAGGGGTACACAAAGTACGTGATTTAGACTACCAGTTGTCGGACTTCTCTTTTGGTGGAAATCTCGGTGGCTGAGTGTGTTAGATCACTGGCTTTGTGTGCTGGCGATTGGGTGTCTCACTCTGGCAGTGTAACAAACAGCAGTGGCATATACACACACTGCTATTTAGAATGAGACTCAACCCAAACAAGTACGAAAATCTGTACTTTACTCAGAAAGTGTTATCCCAAATACGTGAAATACGTAAAACGTGAAATTAACGCGAGCGTGAATTAAATGCGAAAAATGCGAGTGGTCTTTGCTCGCATAATTAAACATCGCATTTATATCAACAATCAGACATTTTGGATAGCAGAAATACCAACTTAGACATACGCTGAAAACAAACAACTATGTATTCCACATCAAAGTTTATTGAGCAGCACTTGTAACAAGTACATAAACAATGTTATTCAAACACTAATTACATCCTGTGAATTGATACTGCTGGGGTGAAGACAAGCGTTCTACTCACTCATGTCATCACTTATCACACCTGCAAGTCCAGACAGACGCCACCCAACACGGAGTCTTTGCTCTTTGCGACTGCATCAAAGTTTTAGTATTGTTTTAGCTGAAGTACTCTACTCAGCGCTAATAAGCGGTGCTATTTGGTGTGTGATTGGATTAATGTAAGGTTGGATTAAAGGTGAGGATTCTCCTGTAAACCTGACAGAGGACGTTTTGTTTAGATATAAATCCACTGATGCTTGAGAGGAGGGGGTGTCGCATTCATATTGAGTCGCATCTTTGGCTAGGGGCCAGCGGTCGCATTCTTTTGGAGACGCATTAATTTCACGTTTTACAGTATAACATTTGTTACAGCAGAGGCATGGCGGGACTAGGACCCATGTCCAAACTCTTGGCAGGTGTAGCACTGGATTGGATTGGAAAATACACCTCCACTCCAATATTACAATAACCAGCTTTGATAGTTCTACCACCCGTCAAGGTAAAGGTCGAAGTGGTCTGTTGGACTAAGGAACACTATTGCCGACTCTAGCGCCCTCTATCACCAAATCCCCTTCCTTTGCCAACACAGGGACGCAACCCACGGCAAACAGGATGGTAGTTGATTCAACAGTACATCTTTGAGATGCTTTAATTTAATCTTGGAACTTTAGTTGTACATTCGAGTAAACAAAGACAGTTGTTTCTGATCGGAGCTTCACATGGACACGATATTTGAAATATCGAATTTACTCTAAACAGATGAACACTTTAAATTTCTACATGAATGCCTTAGTCCCTATCTGAAATATCAATATCTCTGTTGCCATAGTTAAAAGAGTCTATAACACAGAAAACCATGTGCTGCTTCTGAATTCTAGGTCCATCCTGTTCAAATAATTACAGTTTCTGTTTCAAACAGTGCACTTATTACAATGTCTGAGGCTGATGCCCTAGTCGTGGAGCATAGTCCTTTCAAGGCGCAGGAGTTGGTGATGGTTAACATTTGCGGTAAGGTGTGTATATGGCGTTTTCGTCAGTCAAACATAACATGAAACTATATTTCAAATGATCCAAGCAATAGCATGTATGACTTTGTTATCTGTACTGTGTTAAATGATCCACATAATGGCATATCACCTCGAAGCAATCCATAACCAACATAGCCATTTACATCAACTTAAAACACGTTTGGCCTGTACCAGGTCTCAAGTAGTTTCAGCGAACTCCACATTGTCCTATTTTGGAAACTAAGTTACACTATGTTAAATGGATTACATTTAAATCGAGAAAATATTTATTTGCTGTTGACATTCGATCGTAATTGGAGGGGAATGATCGTAAAATATTATTCCCTGCCTTACTGAAACTTACTTTCAAACATGTCACAGAGATTGACCTTCACAATATTGTCATTTGACAAGAAGGTGAAATTGATGCTTCCTCAAATGAAAAGAGAGAACTAAGGATATTTGATACAATTTCTTTTAAACAAATAACCCAACAGCTATTGATCAAATAGATATCCCAACAGTCATCGAACTTCAAATGGTCATCTTTCATTTTTCTAGAATTTATCAATAAACCATCACGGTTCTAAGAGAATTGAGACAAAAAGTATTACAAAAAGAGACAGATATCATAAAATGCTATTTATTCAAATATCGTTTTTCTAAATATGGTGCAAGGACATAAACCAATGTAATCAGTGAAATGGCCAACTATAGATAGTATATAGGGATTGAGACTGAGAGAATACTGTGGTCAAACCAAGAGTGACTTGCGTTGGAGAGAAATGACTCCACAGTTTTTATGAAGAGCCACACACTATTACAGTAACATTCAAACTGTTAGAATCTAAAATATTAACTATAAACGTGTGCAATCACTGACTACAAGTACACACAACTGCTATATTTTTTTCAAAGGAAAGTAAAGCATTAAGTAACTTGTGTATTTACTTCCTACACAACACACAACCTCTATACTGTTTAAATAAGAGTAATGTATTCATTCACAATGACCTTATAAGTTAACGTGCTACACTTACATCTCTAAACTGTTAAGATGTATTCAGATACAGGAACCTTGTCTAATCATTTCTTTGTAATGACGATATAGGCTATGATATTATTCCAGCCACAGTTGGACATGTCCTGCTGTTTCAAATGCTCCAACAGTCTGTCATAGAACGTGTTGACTACGTGCCGCCTGGACTTTCGAGATCTGCTGGATAGAGCCTGCAGGAAAATATGTTCTGTCCAGGATCGGATTGTACAAACAAATCTTGCAACTGATGTCTCTATGTCTTCTTTCCCACCTGCAAACCAAGCAGATGTTCAGTGTAATGGAAGTTGAAATTATTCGTGCTCCTTCACTTTGAGTGAGTGAGGGTAAACTCGTATGTCATACCACGGCCTATCAGTTTAATAAAGGAGTAAGTCCAACAGGGGCACAAGTCGGGGATGGCCACAAGCACGAGTATTGTAATACCGAAACCAAGGATCATAATGGGGGTAAATGCTATCCGATCTTGAGCAATTGCGTGAAGTTATTGCTGTTTAACACTATACACAGCTCTAAAGGAATATCAATTTGAATGTATACAGGAATCATTTTCTAACTATACAAAATGAAAATGCGGAAAAGTCACCATTTTCTTCCTTGGTGTTTTCCATTGGTTTCATGCTATAGGGTTCGTGGTGGGATAACTCCAGGGACTTGATACGTAGACCTGCCTTGACAACTGGAGAGGCCTCGTCACAAAACGGTGCTCTCAGTTCCTCCTCACTTCTGTAGTAACCGGAGTAGTTGGCTGCTTCATACTCACACTGTTTGTAAGTTAAGGAAAACCATCAATGCCTTGTATGTATTATGCAGTAATATTGATGACACAAAGACCTTACAATAACTATGTAAATGAAATGACACACACCATCACCTTCTGTGGTAACCAGAGTAGCAGGCAGCCTCGAAGTCATGATCATACTGTATGTTAGTGAAGGAAAACCATCTATGCCTTGTAAGTAGTATAGATGATGGGGCTTCTGGACCACCCCATCTATACTACTTTGTATGTGTTATGCAGTAATACCGGTGACACACATACCGTACAATAACTGTATGAATGAAATGACACACACTGCATATCATTATCTTCTGTAGTAACAGCGGTAGTTGGCTGCGTCGTACTCACACTGAATGTAAGATAAAAGGTAAAAGAATACGAACCTGAACAACCTCCGAAACAAAGACATTTATGAATGACAGCATCTGATCATGCTATCACAAACAGGATGGCAGGACAATAGTGCAAGATTGAGATGGCCATATCATAAGTTTTACCCGAAGTAGTAAAGGGAGGAAAGTTAATTTTAACAAACTTCTTAAAGTCTGTCCCTGCGGTAAAGCTGTATGTGAGTCCGTTGGTTCTATAATGTAGGACTAAACCTTTCAATTGGTCACTAAGGCATGTAAGTCAGTATCTAGTCAACATCTGAAGTTGAGTGAGTGTGTTTGGTTTTACTTTGCTTTAAACAATATTCCAGAAATATCACAGTGGGAGACACCAGTAATGGGCTTCACACATTGAACCAATGTGGGGAATAGAACCTTGGTCTTAGGTGTGGAAAGCAAACACTTTAACCACAAGACTACTCCACTGCCTCTGCTCAGGTTGAATGTATTCCAGGATATGAAGGTATTCCTAGATATGAAGGTATGAATTTTTGTCAGTTGATTTTCCTTTTAATAATTAAGGAATGACACGACTTAGATCCTGTTCTTATGAATTTACCTGCCCTATAGCTACATTGTATGTTCAGATCAACAAACATGATTTCTTGGACAGAAGTGTATATGACTGTATTGACAATGCATGAGCTTCTCTATATTTAACACAAGTGATGGTATCTTCGGTGATCATCTTCCTAATTAAAGACTTACAAATACTCCTTTCATATCATGAGAGTGTAGCAATTTTGCCTTAATATCAGAAAAAATAGTATCAGTGTCAGTATCATGTGGAATCTGTCCTACACACACCTCTGTGATGAGACTCGTTTTCGAGAACAGTCGCCAAACTAATTAAAGAAAATCAAATACTCCCTCAGATGATTAGAGTGCAGCAATTTCGCCAGAATGTTATAAATATGGGCGTCATTATAAAATGCAATCTGCCCAACACACACCTCTGTGATGAGATCCGTATCACGGAACAGTCGCCAAACTGACGTCATAGCTGCCCACATGTTCTGTAAATGGACTCTGCTTTGACCATATTTTCTTTCTCTATCTTCTGCAGGAACTATCAGCATCATACTTCCTCCTGAGGGGAAATGTATTGTCTTAGCTATGAATATGACTGAAATACAAGGTGGTGGAAATTTAAGCTAACTAAATTGTAATGTTACGATAATTTTGGATTTGACAGCTTTTGCCTAGTTATCTTAAACTACCTTACCATGTTTGATTTCATTGGCTCTTTTGAGGAGAAATTGTTGCCATTCATCAAAGGCCTGAGTCACAACAGCATTGACTTCATCTTGTGTTCCATCAGGGAACGTTAATAGGGAATCTTTATATGACACAGAACTGAAACACATATGTTATATTATCCCACAAAGGATACGTTGTGTCAATGACATTGAGCATTTGAGTCAAAACAACATACAGTACTTTGATATCATTAAACGGAATCAACTGTAAATCATCGTTTAAAATATCAGTTCAACCCGAAAATGAACCACATGGACTCACTTGGACAGATAGTGAGCAGACCAGAAACAGAGAAGAAGATGGAAGGTGTTGTCAGGGACACACTGCTCATGGAAGCTTGTGGGACACATTGACATGTAGACCTTCGGATGATTTATAGACACCTTGCCGTTACCTGCATGAAAGGGAATTAAAACATTGTATCATTGCTTGATGTAATAGTTATGTTTTTAAAACTTCAAAACATTAATAATTGGGAGAGAAAATTTATGGCTGTCATGACCTGATGAGGGAGTAAGTATATACTCCGAAACGTTGTCTATATTGCTTTTGCGTAATGTCATACTCATAGCTATAAAGAAAACATGAATGGTGATATTCATTGTAAATATCGTGAATTCAGTTTTGTTGCTTCCTGGATGACATCACTCTCTATGCACTTGTTGGGCATTTCTCTTACTGCAAACTGTCTGAATCAGAGCATTGTAGTCATTGCTATTCTGGTCCTCATAGATGATGTGGACGGGGATCTCTTCTCCACATTCTTGTTTTAGAGAGCCTTAAAAGACAAAGAACAATACATATATATTTCTCTGTCTTTAAGCATATTATGCCTAATCAAATCGAATCATTTGACATAACAAATATACAGAGAAAATAGCTACGAGTAGGGATTCTTTGGTACCTCAAAGAGTAAGGTTTTAGCACTGGAATATAAAAATGCACCTTGTATATTGTCACTGTCGCAATCGAGTATTTGCATAAGTCAGTCATTTGCAGTATGTATGATTATTTCATTTACCACAAGTAACTCATTCCACTGTTACTGTCTAAGCATGTATTTAATTGTGAATCAATGTATATCACTGGGAACTTACCTACAATGTATTCTAATATCTCCTGTGATGAGAAACCGTTGTAGCATCCATAGTCTCCTATCGTGAAGGTATCTCCTCTCGGAATTAATGACGTGTCTTTAACGATTCAGAACAAAAAAGACCATTAGCAACTATGGCCTGACCTACAATGAATCTAACACGAAAATGTATCATTTTCCAGTGAGCTGATCTGGTAGAAAATGGGTTATACCGAATCAGTCAGTAATCTCCTTTGATAACAGGGAGTGTATGGGGATAATGATAAGTCTTTTATTGTGTTATAAATGTGATGGGTGTCAAAATTTGTTGTGTAAATTAGCGTTACATAAAATATACATGTAGCTGGTACAAATCTCATACAGAACATGGCCAATATTAACATTAAGTAGTGAGTGAGGCAGTGTCCATATACTTTCACATTGAATGCATAATTCACATTACTATTCGTGACTTAGTCCAGAGTTGTATAAGATCATGTGTATAATATAGCTCTAGATCGACAGTTAAATGTACATGAACTAAAACGTGTAGAGATTGTACATTACCTATAACCTGGCGCACTACGTCATCAAAGCGGTGGATTTGGGACCGGATCATTGGCCCAAGAACCATAGAGTACTGGTCATCAAAGAAGCAGGCCATGGCTGAAGATTAGAAAAACAAATATGACCTTGGTTTGTTTCTATGTGCTGCACTATTCAGTGTTGCATGGGAAGGAGGGGATGGCCGATAGTGTCATGTTGTGTATTGTCAAGCAATATGGGTGAGTAACTACACCCAGGAACACCACAAGCCATCCCTCACCTGATACTGGACAGTGGGCAGTGAGAGGTTTACCGAGCAGATACTGGACAGTGGGCGGTGAGAGGTTTACCGAGCAGATACTGGACAGTGGGCGGTGAGAGGTTTACCGAGCAGATACTGGACAGTGGGCGGTGAGAGGTTTACCGAGCAGATACTGGACAGTGGGCGGTGAGAGGTTTACCGAGCAGATACTGGACAGTGGGCGGTGAGAGGTTTACCGAGCAGATACTGGACAGTGGGCAGTGAGAGGTTTACCGAGCAGATACTGGACAGTGGGCGGTGAGAGGTTTACCGAGCAGATACTGGACAGTGGGCGGTGAGAGGTTTACCGAGCAGATACTGGACAGTGGGCGGTGAGAGGTTTACCGAGCAGATACTGGACAGTGGGCGGTGAGAGGTTTACCGAGCAGATACTGGACAGTGGGCGGTGAGAGGTTTACCGAGCAGATACTGGACAGTGGGCGGTGAGAGGTTTACCGAGCAGATACTGGACAGTGGGCGGTGAGAGGTTTACCGAGCAGATACTGGACAGTGGGCAGTGAGAGGTTTACCGAGCAGATACTGGACAGTGGGCGGTGAGAGGTTTACCGAGCAGATACTGGACAGTGGGCGGTGAGAGGTTTACCGAGCAGATACTGGACAGTGGGCGGTGAGAGGTTTACCGAGCAGATACTGGACAGTGGGCAGTGAGAGGTTTACCGAGCAGATACTGGACAGTGGGCAGTGAGAGGTTTACCGAGCAGATACTGGACAGTGGGCGGTGAGAGGTTTACCGAGCAGATACTGGACAGTGGGCAGTGAGAGGTTTACCGAGCAGATACTGGACAGTGGGCGGTGAGAGGTTTACCGAGCAGATACTGGACAGTGGGCGGTGAGAGGTTTACCGAGCAGATACTGGACAGTGGGCGGTGAGAGGTTTACCGAGCAGATACTGGACAGTGGGCGGTGAGAGGTTTACCGAGCAGATACTGGACAGTGGGCAGTGAGAGGTTTACCGAGCAGATACTGGACAGTGGGCGGTGAGAGGTTTACCGAGCAGATACTGGACAGTGGGCAGTGAGAGGTTTACCGAGCAGATACTGGACAGTGGGCGGTGAGAGGTTTACCGAGCAGATACTGGACAGTGGGCAGTGAGAGGTTTACCGAGCAGATACTGGACAGTGGGCGGTGAGAGGTTTACCGAGCAGATACTGGACAGTGGGCAGTGAGAGGTTTACCGAGCAGATACTGGACAGTGGGCAGTGAGAGGTTTACCGAGCAGATACTGGACAGTGGGCAGTGAGAGGTTTACCGAGCAGATACTGGACAGTGGGCAGTGAGAGGTTTACCGAGCAGATACTGGACAGTGGGCAGTGAGAGGTTTACCGAGCAGATACTGGACAGTGGGCAGTGAGAGGTTTACCGAGCAGATACTGGACAGTGGGCAGTGAGAGGTTTACCGAGCAGGAACAAGCTACACTGTTCACTTAACATGGTCAAGTAGTTTTGACATTGACAGCTTGTTGTATAAGGACTACGTTGCTCGGTGAAATATAACTACACTGCCTGTTGATCTTGGTCAAGTAGTACTGAACTATGCTAAGAAAGAGTGTAGTGTTTTCTCTCCGAGGGTCGGACACATGATATTGATGAGCAGATTATAACTGGAAACGCACATGCCCCTAGGGTAGATAGCGGCAGAGGTGTGAAGACAAGTTGGCTTATCCTCTCACGTAAGGATGGTTGTGCGAACCTCTGCCTCCTGTACTAACATTTAACTTTTTATGAAATTTTCTTCTGTAACAATATAAGTCTTCATCGCTCGAGGTGAAATGGTCCTCTGATAATTATTTTTCTCTATGTAGCTCGAAATCGATTGTGTCACATATATTGTACAGGGGATAAGCATGCATATTCAATGTAAGCATTCAAAGAACTGATAAAGCATACTACCAAAAGCACAAATAACTCCAGAACACCATTACTTGTTAAAAAATCTAGCTGACTGATTGTCCAGTAGCTGTCTTGTAAAATCCCAAACAAGTCGGTTGCGTAACATGAGAACACCCAGATCCCCAAAATTGGATGAAAAGGAGCTAAGTGTCCAAGGTAATTTTAAGTTGTTATAAACAGTAATTAGATAGTAATATTTCGTATACCTTCACCTGAACTACGGTAATCCCCTCGTTCTTTCGTGCTGACGGTTCGGGTCGTGCGAGAGGTACAATGTCAGTACCCGAGGGCCTTGGACCTATTACCTTAGTTACTCCAACAACTACAAAGGATGATCTTCATTCAATACTTTTATTCAAGCCTTGTGTTGTCTGTCAACCCACTCTATTTGTCACTCGGTTAAGGGACTTCAGCCGCAAAGCTTCGGTCTCAATCAATGCTGATGATTTCCGAATATGAGTTGAGTGACCAGTGTCCAGAGCGAGTCTCCTAAGCAGCTCTCTATTCTGGGTATTTTTCCCCTTTTTAAACCAGTACATACGTCACAGCTCTACTCATTTTCATCTATCATTGGTCAACCACCTTTCCGCCCCTACACTAGATCATTTTAACCTACCTGTGTTCCATACCAGAATCCTTTTCAGAACTTTTGTAAGACGAACTCCTCGATTCCCGGAATCCGGATTATTTCCCCCAATACCATATATGTGTATCTGTGGTCTCTGCTTGGCCTCTTATTCTTCCTACTCTATTTCTGGTAGCTTGGGTGTTCTTTCTGATCTTATTACCATTGCTCTGCTACGATATCCCCGTGGCCCTCGATTTGTTTATGTGACCTACTGGCTTTGCCCTTGTGCACAAGTTGCCAAGTGTATTCGTTTCTAAAGCTGTATCTCTCTTCCAAATGGTACATATTTCCCGGCGTGTAGTTTCCCTTATTCCTATGTCTTACTGTTTTAATTTCCCTTAAATTGTCTAATTATGTACTACCGTTTGTGTCTTAATGGGTTGATACTTACTGTAATTTTATGCTTATAATAATAAGGAGCCAGGTTGACAATGGAATCAGATCGAGCCACTGGGTGAGTGATCCTTGGTAGGTCTTCAAACCTTTCCCTCACGATGGCTAGCCAGGAGTTAGGTGGGTTAACAGGACTGTTAACTGGCAAGTTTGTCAAAAGGTGCTCAAGGGATAGCTTAGATAATACGTCCATTTGAAGGGGATCCAACTAGATACAAAGATTGGGTAAAAAGTGTAGAAAAATATGCCATCTTAACTGAACTAGACCAAAACCAGGTAAAATTAGTACGATAGTAGAATTATCTGTCAGATTTGTGACTGCTTCACAGCATGCTATAATGCGTTGAGAAAAGTTCAACAAAAGTTTCGCGAAAGTGTCCAAATATTTACCGAACGTCTGCTTAACTTAGCTGATGAAGGAATAGTTCACAATGTTGATGGGGAGGCCATTGAACAGCAGTTGGTCTCTTTACAGATGGGTTTGCCCATAACTACTTAAAAATGAAGGTAATGAGAGAGAACCCTCCAAACCTTGCCACAGCCGAAACCTGTGAAATGCATGAACAAAACCTATGAGCCAGGTTGAATTTGAGAATAGGAAAACTAGAAGCAAACAGGCATGTGCAAAATCCGTTTAGAACAGAGCAACCAATGGAGGTGGACCATGTCCGATCTCAGAAATACTACGATTCTGGTAGGAGAGGCCACATGGCTGGAACTTGCAGAACAAAAGTTAGACACAGTATAAATTCCAACTGAGGCTGAAAGGGCCGGTCCAAACATTCAGTTATTGTGTTGGATATGCAGGCAACCAGGAAATTTCAAGCGAAATTGTTCAAACAAGGAACAACACACAAAATACGTTCACGCAACAAAGTTTATGCTAAACTGCCCTTTCCCAGGTCGAAGCCGCTGAGAAAGAGAAACATAAGCCAACCTACACAAACAGGGAGTCATAATACATGTGCTTTTGAAATAGGTAAACAAAAGTATAGATAGTAGATTCAGGTGCTGCAGTTTCAATCATGCATAAACGATTTTATCAGACATTAAAGGGAGTTCCGAGATTAACCCACAATAAGAAATGACTTAAATAAGTAAATGGTAATGCCCTAGAGTTTGACAGCTGGATGGACATTGTTTTTAAAATAGGAGATGTTGGAGTAACCCCAAAATTTTATGCTGTAGCAGACTTGACTAGAAACATGCTCTTATGTCGTGACTGGCTGACACAGAAAGGAGTAAATCTGATGTACCTTTAGAAAAGGATATTGACATAGCATCAGTTTTTCGATATAGCATGCCATAGCATATTTAGATGACATCCTAATTTTTGGAAAACACATAAAACATATCCAAATTGTCCTGGATCATATTAGGCAGCATTCTCTGAAACTGAAACTGACGAAATGTAATAAACAGAATACTTTGGGTTTGTCGTCAATGAAGAGGGTTTCAAACCTGAAAAAGAAAGTACAATCAATTAAAACCATGCCAGTTCCCACCACAGTAAGGGAACTCAGAAGTTTCATAGCAATGTGTAGTTACTACAGGAGGTTTATACCGGGGGCGTCTTTCTCAGAATACGAGCTTGACAAGTGATACATTTGGAGACAAACCCATAAAATTCTTTATACATATTTCGCCAGTATTACTTGGTCTTGGGTGCATTAAACGTTTTGTCAATACCCATGTGTCAATTGTCATCGTGGTAACTGATACACCTCCTTATCCTTTCACAAAGATTAGCATAGATTTATAAGGCCCATATCCAAAGCCACTGTCAGGAAACATATATATACTGAACCGCAAAAGAAACGTCACTCCAAGTAACAGTGCATGAAAAGTTGTCATTTAAATATTTCGGTAATTTTTGTCAAAGTTTCTAAAACTTAACATTACCTTGATGATAAAAAACAAAGCAGATGACAATAAAACCGTCAGGATCATTAGATTGTGCGACAGCATCTTCAAGATCGCTTTGTTTCTGCTGGTGAAACTGCTCGACAGACCATGGGGACACACCAGCGACTCATTAGTGTGGACACCATGCGTCGACGATTGACAAGCAGACACCTCCACTGTCACAGGCCACACCAAGGGCCCATTTTGACACCACATCATCGCCGGGATCGTCATCAGTGGGCAACACAGCAGCCGTTACTGTATCACAAAAACAGATGGCAGAGATAAAGTCTGGCGACGCTGTGAGAAACGTTATTCGAATGCTTGTGTTGTTCAGAGAGACTCGTGGGGTGGTCCGGTCATCATGGTGGTCTTGCACAGAGGGTCGGCCCTGTGGTCTTCGGGAACATCAGTCCAGCAGGGAGAGGCAATGGTATCACAGCAGCTCAGTACATTTATCAAGTCTTGAGACCACACGCCATACCTCATTTGGCACGTCGCTGCAACCACGAGTTTCAGCATGATAACGCCCGTGCCCACACTTCGAAAGCAACAAGAGACTTCCTCAAGCAGAATGGCATCAGAACCATGCAGTGGCCTGCCCTCAGTCCCGATCGAAATCCCATCGAGCACCTGTGCGACAAGATTCAAAGACGGCTGAATGACGTCCGACCAAGGCCGACGACTGCAGCTGAACTGCATCAGGTGTTCCGCAGAGTGTGGGCTCAAGTGCCTATGGCCTTCATCAACCGCCCCATCCATTCCACGTATTGACGTTGCACACGGTGGACACACGAGATACTGACTTGTGATGCCATTTTCTAAGAGTAGTGTTTTGTGTTTCACTTTAAGAACATTTAAAACTTTAATTTCAAATTTGATGATCAGTTTTGCCAAGTTTAATCTTTTTAATTTGTCTCAAAGTATGTTTACAGTGTTTGGACAAATAAGGTTTCTCATATATCTCTCCAGGGTGCCGTTTCTTTTGCGGTTCAGTATGTTTCAGTAGTTCAGTTTTGTGGATCATTTTACTGGATGGCCTTTGCAGTCCCGGACAAATATACTAGCCACATAAAGAAACTGTGCACGGAGAAAATATAGATATGAGGGCACACCGTCCATATATGAAATATAGGTTTGAACACAGCAATTATTGGAGACATTCAAACGCTCATGCACGTGCCATGCGATATGACGTCATTTATGGGGGCCTATGGACGTGCAATGTGTTACTGCACGTGCATCCTGTGCAGCTGTACACAGCATATGCAACTCAAATTCGCTGTCACTTTGGAAAGCATGATCTGTGGTCATTCAAAAATTCAAAACTTCTCAGGCGCAGACACAAGCAAATCATGCCATGATTGACAGCTGCACAGCGTCATGAAGCCATTGGAATGATCCGAGCGGGAATGAGGCAACAACAGGTGGCAACACATTTCCAATGCCATCGTAACACGATATCGGCATTGGTGAGGCGTTATCAGAACACAAATGACGTTGCCGACCACCCACGTTCAGGACGTCCCCGAGTAACGACGCCAAGACAGGACAGATGGATTCGAGTTACACATCTCCGACACAGGTTCCAAACGGCAATAACGACGTCCCAGACAATTCCTGGACTGCGCCGTATCCATCCCAACACTGTCAGGAATCGTTTACGTCAGTACGGGATTCGACCACGACGTCCTGCCATACGTCCCATCCTGACACACCGTCATCGCATCAACCGTCTAAGATGGTGTCGAAATCATGTTCGCCAACCTCGAATATGGTGGAGAAATGTTGTCTTTACAGATGAATCGAGGTTCAACATTTCCCACAGTGACGGGCGCCAACGTGTTTACCGGCGTTTGCACGCAACTGTATTGTGGAGAGGAATCGTTTTGGAGGTGGCTCTGTGATGATTCGGGGTGGGATAACAGCACGGCACCGAACCCCTTTGGTGGTTGTTCAGGGCAATCTCACCGGTGTTGGCTTCAGAGATCAGATTCTGAGGCCTGTGGTCATTCCTTTCCTGCAACGTCATGGACCGGGATTGACATTTTAACAGGACAACGCTCGTCCTCACACGGCTTGGGTCGCAATGGATTTCCTTCACCATAACAATGTCATGTTACTGCCATGGCCTGCAAATTCTCCAGATCTCTCCCCAACAGAGCATGTGTGGGATGAAATGGGGCGCCGTCTGCGTCGTCTTCCACATCCTCCAGATAAAGTCCGTGACTTGGCACAGGATTTGAGGAGGATATGGCAGGCCATTCCCCAGGCCTTCCATGCACATTTAGTGGACTCCATGCGTCGCCGATGCACTGCTGTGATTCACGCACCGGGTGGTCATACCCGTTATTGACTTTGTAACTTTGTCGTTTGACCCCCTACTACTCCATTTTGATCTTCTGACGTCATCGTAACAGATGTTGTTCAAGTCCCGTTGACATTTTCTTATGGTCCGACCATTCCGCTGCTACAGCGTCTGCATCATTTTGTTCTTGCTGTGTTGTATTTCAATCCAGAATATATTTTCTCCGTGCACAGTTTCTTTATGTGGCTAGTATATTTTCAAATACAGCACACTTATTGTTCGACGAGATATTTCCCTGTTGCGGTTCACTGTTGGTTCATCGAAACATGAAAAAGACTAACGAAGACAGGCTAAGTATGCTGACAGAAATACTACACCCCTTTAGAGGAACATTGGTGATCACGTTTATTTCAAGTTCAACCAAAGAAAGAGCAAGCTACCATGTGATTGATCAGATTTCACAGGGGCATTAGTTATTAAGAACCGGTTATATGGCAAACCCATAAAAGCCAATGCGGAACATATGAGGTTTGCACAAATTGACAATTAGGAAATTCCAAATGACAATACTGGTAAGGTTTTGAAAAAGACACTTTACGTTGTCCCCCAAGTGAGTCCTATAGAGATGCAGTGATCCCTTAAAAAACGTAGCCAATAGATGTCGCCGGGAGAGATCAGATTCGTAGTAAGAAGATAATATTCCACTTATGGAACTAACTAAACGAATCAGAGCAAGGGACAATGTAGTGACCACGAGGACAGTGAAACCAGTTCCCCAACACAAACCAATGAACAGTTAAATCGCTTGTCCTTGGCATTGCCAGTGGTGTAATAGTACAGGAAAACATTATTTTCTGGAAATTAAATGAAGTTCCACTACGAGGTTTCGATGGCAAGATACTTTTGTGATAGATTTGAAACAATGTCAGGATTTCATGAACAAATATACAAACAACCTAGCAGAAGTATCTCTAGTGATAGGTTGATAATAAGTAAATTCCATTCCGCAGTTGATGATGGAATGATGAGCATGTTTCTCAAATTAGAGGATGACATAACAGGTTTAAAAAAAACCAAGTGAAATACTTAGAGACAATTTCGCAGAATACTGGAAATAGCAATCCAAACACAAAAGATCCATTTTAGCGTTTTTGGGGAAGGCTCTGAGTTTTCTTTTCAGTACTGTTTCTGATGCTGACTTCATTAAGCGAAATATACTATTCCAAAAAAAGAAACGCATAGGTGTTTCTGAATTTAAAAAGTTCCTCTGATCAAAGAATATGTCAACTGAATCGATAAAATATGTTATAAATCTGTGTATTGGAGACTTCTATGCAAATCTGTATTTTAAAAAAAACACCAAAACGCAAAATGTTGTGTTTGATAAGATGTTTTACAAATTTCTGAAAACACGAGCAGCAGCATAACACGAAACCAAACTCATTTTGCACGTGCAAATTGGGCCATGAGTTGCATGCTGCATCTGTCTATAAAATGACATGTCGCATTCGAAATGTGAAATCAGTTTTGAATAGTTTCCCGACGGAATCAACATGCCACGTCTAGACGCTGCGACTCGCAATATCGCGATTGGAAGACTAGGGGCTGGTGAGTCGCAATCTTCAGTTGCAAGACGTCGAAATGTAAGCCAGAGTACGATTTCTCGACTCGCAACACGCTACAACCTTACGGG